TGCACTGAGTAAGCTTTATGAATCATTTGGCAATACCAGATAATTTAAATAAGATATAAGGTGAATATTTTGCCACCTTTGTATAATGGGCCAGTCAGGAACATGCCCCTAGTAAATATGATTACAAATAAGTCCAACCTAGCAAATAAGTCCAACCTTTTCTTAATGCAGGTCACTGCTGAGCTCCTGTCATGCCAGGTAAATTACTCACCAGTTTGTTTACTAAGAAAATCTGAAATATGTAAAAGCTTGGAAAGTGTGGGATTTGCCTTGATTCACTCCTTTTTCTGCGCAGAATTGTGGACAATATATACAAAGTTGTGGGGTTTTTTTATGAGGTACCATCAGGAATCTTGTTACAGCTTTAATGCTTTCATTGGCAGTGTCTGCCTTTGAGGTAACAGCATTGAATGGACCTATTTGGTCAAGTTATGGCAGGTTGATACCTTCATCTGAGTTCTTCTTGTCTGGTAACAGTATAGTGACAATATTCTCCTAAATTTGTGCTTGCTGCCATGACCCTGAGTTTTTCACAGCGTCAGTCTATGTGGCAACAAAGCTACAAGCCTGTATAGATACTAAAGGTATACGTTTCTCTAAGTGAAATATTGGCCATTCACACGAGGTGCGTTCTAGCAATAACATATCCTTGAAATTAAAGACTTCCAGGGTTTTCTGTAACGGTGTGCTGAAGTTCATTGACCACCGTTAGGCTGTGTATCTTCCTAACAGGAAGGAAAGATAAGGTTGTACTGTGTATGTCCAGAAGCTGAGCACATTTCTGGAATGGGCATACTGCCTTAATGAGAACGGGAAAATTTGTCACCTGACAAAGCCAAAGGAGGTTGTATCTGTGTAAATGGTTCTACTGGGGCTAATAGTTTCCCTATCTAGAGTCATTTGATTGACCTCTGTCCCTATGGCCATGACTGGTGACAGCAGTGACTCACAGAGCTGGCCCTTTATGCTGACGTCTCAAGTATGTCCAACTCTTGAGAGCAGCTTAGTGGAAAAACTTGATTGAAAAGGTAATGTTAAGATGTGCAATGTCCCAATGGATATTAGAGTGCTTCTTTGATCAGTTTTGACTGCCACAAATTTGACCAGTTTGTCTATAGTCAGCAAATGGGTTTATTTTTTTTTATGTTTTGGGTTACGTGTGCTGTAAGGAACATTGTTCTTCAGATTTGCCTACTTGATTTTTATGACTTGGGACAAATGTTCAGTTCTGTGAATTATAGTTATTGCCATGTGTCCTAAATTCTGTACCTCGCTCCAGTGACCTTGTTATTAAATACTTGCATACCAACGGCAGGAAACTGCTCTCTACAATCTTAATAAGGCAAGGTCCCTAGATTTCTATTTGGTGCAAGCAAAAAACGCGACAGAGACTACTTGCCACCTTTTCTTTCCTTCATCCGTGCATTAGGTTCAGATGTTACCAGAAATACAGTTTGCAAGTGCATGTCTGGTTGCATTTTTCATTGCTCCTGTCTGTGCAGGCTGTAACTTGGAAGTCACGTCTGAGCTTTTTCTTGTCAAACCAATTCTGTCTATTGAGGTCTTTCAGAGCAACCATATAGTTTTATATGTTTGCTAATTATTGGCACCCTCAGTAGGAGCTGGAGCTTGTTCATTATTGGTAGCCATGCTTTTATTCTGTGGAAGCCTTGAAGTTTTCCACTTTTAAGTCTTTTACTGAAATAGATTAATTTTTTATTTTTCCAGCCAGTGGGTTTGACATGGCTTATTTTGAAACCACCTCAGAATATTATTTACAAAGTTGGAAATCCAGTGGGGTTAGTATGTGTGAAGAGAAACATTGCCTGCAGGACTTCTTTTATAGAAACTCTCTGTATAGGAATGTTTGTCTTTGGGGACTAGAATGCCCAACATGTATGTGTTTTCCTTTAGGAGTTACTGCTGGAAAATAAATCACTTAAAAATCCAGGAGACAGTAAAATGATGTAAAAGATGATGAAAGATTAAAAAGGTTTTTTAAAAGATTAAAAAGTTTTAGGGAATCCTTTACATACTCTGCCTGGGAAATAGGCAGGGTAGAAATCTGTTATTTTTAATTTAAAAAAAATGTGGATTTTGTTTTTTTTAAAGGTGAAGGTTTTTTAAGAAAGGGTGGCAGTGCATAGTTATCAAATTGATCAGTATTATGAAACAGAACATGGCTGCATCCTTTCATTTTCAACAGCTTGTGGTGCAAATCCTGTCATCAGTGTACAACATTTGACTCCTTCCTTCTTCCCTTTTTCCTGTCCCTTCTGTAGAAGAGGCTTCTAAATGTTTTGTGACATAACCCTATTGTGATTCTTCTTCTTTTCTCCACCATCTTCATTGCTTATTGTCATCTTTTTTTAATTTCTCCTTGGGTGAGCCTTGCAGCTGTACAGCTTTAATCTTCAATGTGTTCAGTGCCTTTTCGCATTAATGGTTGCTTCCTTAGGTTTCCTTCTCCCTCATTTCCTCCACCACAGTTTGGTTCAGTCATGGCAGAGTGGAAAGTAGGTCCCTCACCACTCTAGTCTGAAAGCCATTCCTCGACACCAGTGTCTTTGGTCTCCTTCTCTAATGCTCCTGTATGGTTGATGAGCATTCAGATGTCCTCCACCTGCTTTTGCCAGCCATGTTTTAAGGCTTCCATACCACCTTCCTCATCTCTGATATGTCCAGTGCTTTGAGTACTCGTTTTCAAAGGCTTTGGCTGTTTGAACTTCGGCAAACTTGGTGATTACTTTGTGTCCTGGTTACTGGTTTTTTTCATTACTTCTTTTCATGCAAGAGTCTTCTGTGTTTCTTTGGAGGGGTAATCTCTGACTTCCACAGGTTTGGTGTTTGTCTTCCTGCAGGTTATTTACTCTCCTGTGTGTTTGGTGTGGTACTTGGTGTCTCAGCAAGATGACACAGACAAAGGGAAAGCAAGTGCAGGGTAAATTAAGGTCAGTTCTTCCCAGGTTGTCCTGCTCATGTCTCTGGTGTTACTGTTCTCTGTTAGGACACTAAAAATGATCATTTCAGCTCTTGTTCTTTCATTTCCTTTGTTGCATACGATTGGGCCATCTGCAAGTTGTGCTTGCTGCTTCCTCTGGGCACTTGAAAATGTAGAAAAACTCTATCAAGATACTCTGTTACTTACAGTACTCTTCCTCTGGCTTCCTGACAAGCCACGCTTCCCCAATTCAGTCAGAATGAAGGGAAGATGAAATTTAGTGTTCTTTATGTGTGTATATATATATTAATTTAAAGAGAGGACAACTTTCCATCAAAAAGCTCATTTGCTATGTTGTCAGTCCTATCCTGTCACACAGAAGTGAGATGAGAAACATGCTGTCATTTACAGAGAAAGAGTGACTTTGAGTGGTGTTCCTGGATTTCTGTCTGCATTGAGTGGCCCTTCAGCGCAAACATGAGCTGCTTGTCTCATGCCTCTTCCTTTTTATCCTTTGCTTCTTGAATTTAAAAAAAATAAAAATAAAGGGCAATTTGGAAAAGCTGGAAGAATCAGAAGAGGACTTGAAATCATTGAAAGAGACTTCAACTGGATGATATAAAGGAGTGTCTCCTACTTGGCTCTCCTTCAGAGGCTTCATCGTGACTGCTTGCAACTTGAAATCCCGATCGTTATGCTGACCTCCAAGGAGTGTGGGAGAAGTCCCATCATGCTGCTGGTGCCTCCCCAGAGGACTGCCTCCCCTGTACGGCAGCTTTGTGTTCATGTAAGACCTGTCGCTAGTGTAGGAGCGACACTGAAGAGTAGACACTGGAGTCCCTGCTTTTCCTTCTGAGCTTTACCTGGTGAATTCCTACCTACAGCAATTAAGATGAGACTAAGTCCCATGTTAAGTGTCATGGGAGAATCCTTCTCCTCAGCCATCCTGGAAATACTCTCTTACCCTCCTTCCTCCCTTCCTTTAGGAAACTAGTCTGCTTTAAAGATGTTCTTTCACTCTTTTGTGTTAATCACAGACCTTTATTTCCCCCCTCATATGTTACATGTGAGCTGCTGTCTAGGCCCTTCACACAGTGCTGCTCTTCTGGTGAGCTTTTTGTCAGCAGTGTGCAGAATTTTCCATTTTTGCCCTGCCTCAGTCCCCCATCAGCGTACACAGTATATCCTCAAAGGGTATGTTTGTATTCGATAGGAAAAAATCTGTAATTTTGTCTTTCCAGACTACTTCCACATCCTTTTTAATGATGTTTTTAGTACTCATTTATGTCATGTGTAACAATTAAAAAGAAGAAGAAAAAAATCAAGACTTTGTTCTTAATCACCTTTTGGTTCTTTCTGTTTTGTCCATTTTCCTCACCTTCCTGCTATTAGTAACTTGTTACCTCAATTCATTGTTTTATAGGCTAAGCGACTGCTGTATTTCTTGCAAGACTATGATGTCACTTTACATTTTTGGCTACTTCTGATAAATTGGAATGTCTTCCTTTAAATTTTTGAATCTGTGTACCAATGGCTTCAGGAAATGCATTGGGAACTATCTATCACTGTAGTAGCCATTTTACAACATTATTTATAACATTAGTTTCATTTCCTTGGTTAGCTCTCAGTGAACTAATGTCTCCAGACTAGGATTAAGTCTAGCAATGCAGCTCTGTGGCACTAAGTATTTTTTCTTAGGCTTGAGGCAGAATTTCGCTTAGCAGTTTTGCAGTAGAAAACCAGAATTTAGCCTTGCCCCAATGTTTTGCTTACTCTTACACTAGTAAAACAAATGCAATTTTTTATATCCAGTTAAGACTATATTGTGTAGAATGAAAATGTCATATCAACAGAACTAAGTTTTCAAAAAATAATGGCAGGTAAATTATTTAAGGGCTTGGAATAGAAGTGTGTGGAAAAGTGGCAGTAGAGCAGTCCCGCTGTGTTCCTGAGCCTAGGCTGTGGTTCTTGCATATCAGGACTAAATAAGATACAGCTGTGGATTGTAATTTCTTGAAAGCAGTGTATCACTGTTTAAAACTAACTTTAATCCTTGCAGACCAGTAATGGAGGAGGGAGTTTAAGTGATTATTCCTCCTCTGTCCCATCAACTCCAAGCACCAGCCAGAAGGAGCTACGGATTGATGTTCCTCCCACTGCCAACACACCAACTCCTGTCCGTAAACAGTCCAAGCGCCGATCCAACCTCTTCACGGTGAGTGAGCCAAGGGAAGAGACTGTTGCTGTATTTTACATAGTGCTCTGTGGTGACGGCCTGAACTTCAAACCTGTTGAGTTGAGCTGGTCTAGTCCAGACAGAAGTGTTGAGATGAATCTGGAGGCTTGAAAACTAAAATATCTTAGAATTACCATGGTGCTGTTCTGTTCATGAACTTAAAGAGAAACTAAATGCAGTGACGTTACCTACTGGGAATTGCAGTGAAACAAATGAATCTGTGGTTGAATTCTGGAGCCTTTGTCTGACTTTAATTCTCAGATCTGTCTAGATTCCCTGGTTTGGTAGTAATCAAAGAGAAAGATGGGCCTCTGCTCCCCAGTCCTGCACTTATACTGAATAATGGTGCTGACTCGAGGCTTCCTTCTCAAGTCTCCTGTTTTGGTAGAGAGGTCTCAGGGTTTACCATGGGAATACCATGCGGTACTGGAAAATAACTACCCCAGGCTACTTTTGTTACTCTACAGTCTCAACTCACTTTTCGTTTCAAAGGTTAAAAGACATGGAGATTAAAAAGACTTTTTTCCTTCTCAAACAATCTGGTTTTTGCTTTGTTGAGAGGCCAAAAAAAGAACGAAATGGAAGACTTGACTGGTCCAATATGATAGGTCTTTATTATGCTTGGGAAATGATAATGAAGCCTTGAGTGATGATTTCCTTAGTTTAGCAGTCTTGCCGAAAGCTTTGTGATTGTATTGTGTTCATAATTGTGGTTCTGTAAGCAGTTTTTGACACTCTTGACATGCTTTATAGCAAACACAGAATCCCTGTGGGCTTGCACGTAAGTCCTTTGGTAATTGTAGCTACATGTCAGTTGCGTTTAGAAAGTCAGGTCTTCCCTGTCATCATAAAAAGTTTGTGGGTTTTTTTTCATTTCAAAGATGATGTCATGTTCACTTCCCAAAGCTCGCTTGCTCCTTGGTTGTATCCAGGGAACCACATACAAAGAGGGTGAAACCATTTCCTTGTACTCTAAACAAAATCTGACCTCTTAGCCTTTAGCAAGTAGAAAGTTTTGTCATCGTATTAGAGCGCTGAGTGGCAGCACAGAGTCCCAGGGATCATATTTCACATGCCCATCTCGACAGTGATATTTTGATTTAAAAACTGTAGGTCTTCAAACTCCTCCAAGGAATGAAAATCATGCACTTGTGTTTAGGTACAAACATTTGGGTGCAAACCAACAAAACGTGCAAAAATGAGTGGTAGGTGAAAACGTATCCAATTTTGACACTCCTATTTTATAGCAATCGTGTGGATTTCCTGTTGGTGGGAATACTCGCTGCCGTTTATAATATTTGGGAGTTACTAACCCCACTAGGTGTCAGTGTCAGTCCAGAAACTGCCAGCAGAGTAATACTGCTGGAAATAGAGCCGAGATGCTACAGCATCCCTTAAAAGCATTCGCCGACCATTTCTGGTCTGAAGGATGCATAAAATGCTATAAGGGCTGTAGAGATGTTGTTGACATTTGGGAAACTGGGCATGTTTTAAATGGGAATTGGTGTAAATTTGAGAAAGTGAATACAGAAAAACATACATCATCTACAATCGTGGAAAAAGGTTTGAGAAGAATGTTAAGTCAGCTGCGTTTGCTGGAAACAAATAGACTAAAGCTCCGGTTCCTGAGAATAGCATAGTAAGAACCAGATTTGCTAATATGAGAGGATGTTGATAGCCGTCTTAATGTCTAATAACTGGGGGAAAATTGGGGGGGAAACAAGTCCTGTGGAAAAAAATAATAATAATTTGACTTTCCTGAAGTAGTACTGTCTTTTAAGATCTGGGCATATTGAATATTGTGTAATAAGTTGCTCTGTAATCTGTGTTCTGAAGTATTTAACACTGACCCTGCTGTAACCCAGGTTTCATGCCATATCAGCCAAGTTATAACCTGGAATTATTTAATTGAATAAATAGATGGCCAGTATTTTCTCTCTAGTTATGAACAGAGTGCATAGTCAAAGTATTTTAATGTTTAGCTCTGGGTTTATTGCTGTGCTGCTTTCCTAGCCTGTTACTTGCTTATGCCTTTATCACTTACAGAATCAAATATATTTCTGTGTAATTGCAAATTACCCCTTGTTATCTAGCACAGGTAATATGTTTAGTTTCCTACATGAAGATCTTTTAATGTTGGAAGAAAATTGGGTTAAGTAGAGAACAGATGTGATTTTTTTTTTCTAAACTGATTACAGCTTTTGAGTTGGAATAGGGTTGAGAATTTTAAGCATATTCATGTTTAAGTTCATTAAATGCAGTATCTGATCTTTTTTACTTTGAATATTAATATTTGCTGTAAAGCAATTGGTACAATAGCTGACTTTCTACTTAAGTGATACAACAGATCAAATATTAGCAGAAGGGGTAGATGTCCTTTGTTTTGTGCAGTGTTTTAACAAGGACAACTAAATAATAGTGTATTGCACAGGTGAGGATTTGAGATGCATAAGAGGGCCACTTCAGCAAAGAACCGATTTGAACTGTGTTCAATCCCATATGGGGTGAATGAACTTCTGGTAGAGTAAGAGGCATCTTCTTTCCCGTATTCATTATTACATAAATCTTTGCAGAATTGCAAGCAAGATTATTATTATTTTTTAAATTAAAACGAACTCTCTGTGCCAGTATATACTATTAGAGATCAGTATTCTTAATTTTGGGACTCTCTGGACTGCTGATACAGGATTCTGATTGTGCCCAAACGCAGGTGCTGTATAGCTCTGGGACTAAACCTTATTTCACAGTCCCAACCTTGGGTAAGGTTTTACGTTGACGTAAGTCTACGTATCACTTCCAATGCAAAGTAGAAATGAGTCAAATTATATACATGCAGGTGTTTTAATTTTTTTGACTTTTTCTGGTTTGCTTGAATGAAATTTTAAATAGAGCAATTTAATATGTTGATGTGACATCAGAAAAAGACCTAGCAAATGTTGATTCAGTGTAGTTTAGAATCTATTTTTTTACACTGTACAATGTAAGATGAATTGTGTGTGTCATAGGTACAAAAGCATAAAAGATCGGAATATATCTCTTATTTCACTGCATGGTTGTCTTTATAAATAGCAAAGCCTGCTAAGATTCTCCCCGTGAAAACTTTGTATTCTGTCGTTACAAGCAGCTAGAATAGAATTTGCCTAACACAAATTCCTACATTTCTGTACTTTTGGTATTTGACAATATTTTACATATAGATATTTCCCTTCTATGTGCAGATGCATGTATTTCCAGATGCAATTACTTTTATGGAATGGAAGACGTGATGATATAAAAATGAAAAATAGTGCATAGATACTTAGCTTGCTTTTGAAAAGCACGATCCTTTCTTTAAAAAACTCAAATAAAAAAGAAACATTCAAGTTGACAACTTCCCTCCCAAGGATTTGGCTACCCTCACTGAGTTTCTTTAAAATGTCACTTACGGGCACTTTGCACCATTGAAGCATTGTTTTGCCTTGTATTATTGGGAAGTGGCACTTTCAGATTCAGAAATCTGTTTTGAAGGACGGGGAACAATAGTTATCCTGAACATTGGATTTCATCCCTCCCACTTGTTTTGCTTTCTTTCATTTATTCTTTGTTTAATTCCCCAGCACGTCATTCCATTGCCCTGAACCATAGTAACTAGTGATAGGAGCCTGCTCCCGGCGGAGTGGGGAAAGCAGCACGGGATCCCTGCTGGGTAAATGTGTTGCTTAGAATGGTGTTACTTGAAGTCCTCCTCTGTGGGTTTTCTCCCTCCCCTTCCCTCCTCTTGTGCCTGAAGGCAACTGCTTTGGGAATTTTTTTTCTTCCTTCCACCCCTTCATATACTATGGAAAATGGATATTAGCTATCCGCAATCCTAATTGTTCTCCTAATTTCAGTGTCTTTCAAACATCTCCTTCCACTGAAAATGAAAAGCGGGATCTTGTGTTGCTCTGGTTTTCATTAACTTCCCACTGTAGTGCTGGACATCGCAAATGTATCTGTTTCATATATCATCTCTGATTTGAAAAGCACATGAAAATGTTTTCCCATTTTCGATATCGTGTGAGTAATGTTCCTATTGAAAAGTAATGGAGTGAAGTTGTCACTTGTCAGTTCAGTTATTAAGGAGGATGACTCTCAGGTCTTCTTTTTGTAATAAAATAAATCTGTCACAATCATTATGCTTGTGCATTCTTTCACAATAATGGACTGGAAATCACGAACTTCTTAAAATTACTATATAACTTCATAAAGTCATGAAGTGAGCACTGTGAGCTTACTCCTAGGGCAGATCTAGCATTATAGAAAGCCAAGATCAGGCAATTCAGGTTTTAAACATCAGTTAAATTTTCCTCATGCTGATTTTTCTTCATTGTGTTCAGATAACTTTTTCAGCGTCAATCACTACCTTTTCTTGCAATTCTAACTTTCTAACCATCCAAACGTAGAAAGAAATAAAAAGTTAAAGTCAATATGATCAAAACCAGCATCATAAAATCACATTTCTAAGTGCTTGATAACAATTCTAAAAACCACACAGATGTAAGTTACATGTATGCATGCATATATCAATTTTTTTTAATGAGAAGCTGGAACCTTCATTCCTCTTTGGAGCTGCTGTTAGAGACTTCAGAAACATGTCCTCTGATCTGCTGGGTCTGCAGGCAGTGAAACTAACTCTTTACACCCAAACACCATTTCAAACAAGTGGATGGTTGAAAATTAGAGGCAGTGTTTTAGTATTCAGAGTTTGGGACAGTTGTGTACTTGTGTAGATTCTAACCCGCACCTTTTGAGTTTATATTTATGTGTCAAAATACTTCTTTTTTTTTTTTTTTTTTAAATCACTTTAAAAAAAGGAAAAAAAAGCATCCTCTGTGTGAACTGCTATATTTAATGGAGCACAAACTTTCTCTTTGCTCTGCAGTCTCGGAAAGGGAGTGACCCAGACAAAGAGAAGAAGGTCCTGGAGAGCAGAACAGATAGCATTGGAAGCGGTCGTGCAATCCCAATTAAACAGGTAATGCCAAAATACACTTTTTTTTTTTTCTTTCGGTAGTTGGAGGCACACCTCGGGTCTTAAGCACTCTGATGGCGGGCCCATGCGCCAAGACGTGTTTGATGTGCTCTGGTGATGAATGTGGAAGTCACTCACTTGACATCAATTAGGAGAGGTTCCTATGTGTATTAAAATAGGATCATTAGAATAAGAAGAGGGAAAATGTGACAACAGGCCTAATGAAGTGCAGTCTGCCGGCCTGCATATGGAGCGGGTTTCTAGGCTGTGCTGGCTTCAAAGCTGCCTTTGTAGAGGGGGCTTTGATTGGGCCGTGTGCTGCCAGTCGGCGGGGTAAATCAGATCGCTCTACAAGAGCCCCTTGTGATCGCAGAAATAGCCTGATGTGGCCCTAATTTGCTACTGCAGACGGACATCTGAACACAGTTTCAGGCTGGTTTGTAACAACGAGGCAATTAGTTGTGATAATCATAGCCGGTGTGTCAGCTGTGCGCTCTTGTTTGTAATTTGCTAATGAAGGAATTGTAACTTTGATTAGGTTCAGTTTCATTTAGACCTTATTATATAAGAGAACATTTACAGCTGTAATGTGTGGCCTTAATTAAACTTCCTCATTACACAACAGGACTTGAATTCAAGGATTTGTTTTGGTCTGTTTTACTAGCCTAGATGCACTTTCATTAGCCCGGAAACTCAATGCTAAATTGTAGCTGTGAACACTCCTTTGAAAGGCAAAAGCAATGCCAGCATCTGATGCAAAGTATTTAGGTGAATGAGATCATTTACTTTCTCAAATTAAATAACATTGAATTCATGCAGTTAAGAACACGGCGCTATGCGTTTGTATGGGAAGCTTTACAAATAGTTTCTGGGATAGCGTTTGCAAGTATTTACTTTTGCGTGAGTTACTTTGCTGAAGGTAGCAAAAGTGCTGAGGGAAGGGCGTTTATTTTCTTCCCGCGTGGTTGTTTTCAGTTTCGTTTGGTGGCTTTCCTACCTGTCAGAAGGTCACTTGCCTCTTCTAATCTTTCCTTGGTCCGTGCTTCATCTTGTCAGGTAGCCCTAGGTCTCCTGTTTGGGGGTGGGTTTATGTGTTTGGGGTTTTTCGGTTTTTGTTCTTTTTGGGGGTGAGAGGGAGATGGTTTTGTACCCTTAACTATTTGCAGTGATTTTCTTTCTTAAAGGCAGTTAAAAAGACCTTTTGGTACCATCATGCAGCAAAACTGCTGTCGTGTCTGTGAATCTGTAGTAGAAAATTTTTAATCAAACACACTGCAATTCAGAAGAGCAGTTTGAAATCAGATAAGCTCAGTATTTGGCTCTGCATTCAGGGGAGGAGATTCCAGGCATTTAAAACAAGATACGGTTTTTTTTTCCTACAGCTTTTGTATGGTATGAGATGGGTTAGACCAGCTGGAATTCTTTTGGGTAATGCTAATTAAACAAAAGTGTCTGCGAATGCAGTTGAGAATGAAAAACTGAGGAATATACTTTTCAATATTTATTCAAGGCATACATAATGTTCTTTTCTAAAATGCTGTTGTATGAAATTAGGTTGATTAAAAATGCACTTGGAGGAGGAGTATTGTAAGATAAGCATTTTAAGTGTGATTGCACTATGCCATGTTATAGTGGAATAGCCCCTACAATCTCTTGAATTTCTGTATTGAAAAATTCTCCCTGCAATCCTTACTTGTATACTGAGTATGACCGATCTTTTGGGAATGTGTACTTTTTGTTATTAATCCCAATTATGGTAATTTCATTTTGTTACATACAAGTAATTATCAGCAAATATTGAGCAGGTCTGTAGTCAGCAGATACATCGTATTCATCAGGGTTTTGGAAGGGTGGTAGGAAGAGGGAGGTTGAATGGCATGCAGTGTTGTAGGATGGCTGATATCAGTGGTATTTCACATCATACTTGTGTGTCGTTCTTAAAATTTGAAATATGATATATAATTCATACTGACAATGTTTCATTACTGTTTAAAAACATACATTAGTTTGAAGCGGTGCTTGATAACAAACTACACTATTTCAAGCAGAAATGGCTCCTGAAGTTTAACCGGGGGATAGCTTTTTGTCTACCCATTATTTAGATGGAGAACCCCTATTAGTAGAGGTGGCACCGAGTTAAATTGCTTTTCTTGGTGGGCTCTACAGGTACCGGATACTTGGAGATTTCTCTGAGGCAGTAGAAATTCCTGCTAGAAAAGATGGCATCTCTTATTTTATGCATTAACTGTGAATAAGACAGAGGGATGTGAAAAGGAACTTTTTGACCTATAAAACTTCAGTATGTCACGCTACTGTGCTTCTTGCAATGAGAGACCGCTTCCATCATGGTTGTTTGTGTGACAAATGGTCAGGGAATAGAACGAGAAATCTGTTTTCAGGGAGTTGAATGCAGATTGTAGTATTCACAATGTTGCTGTGGGAGAACTATCTTATTATATCATTAAAAGACTTTTTATTTTTCTTTAAATCTTTTTGTCACCGTGTTTTCCGATGCTTGTCCTCCTGTTAACCCTAAAGTCACATTGCTGCACTGCCCCATGCTAGATTCAGGAGTAATCTCCGGTTATGTTAAACCTTCTCAGACTTCTTTAAGCTGCTGTCGAACAAAATGCCTTTGCTGGCTTCATGCACGTAGTCTTCTATTATGTCTTTGGGACATTTTCAAAAGCCTGCAGTGACCAAGCCTTTTTAATATCTGCTGTCAGTACTTTGTTTTGTTCTCTGTTGGTTCTTACTCTATGTGTATGGCAGCAATACTTTAAAAGGACTGCTGGCAACTCAGTGCTTCTGGTGCAAGGCAGAAGTCCCAGCTCATACATGTAGATCAGTGCTTCAGCTGCGTTGGTTGAGCTCATTTGCAGATTTACAAAAAAAACCAAACCCCATGTAGTAAGTTATGGTTGAAACACAAATACTTTCTGTTCTCAGTTTACTGTTACTTGACAAAAAATTACAAATTTACAAAAAAGCAAATAGAAAAAAGAAAAACCTTACTATTCAGATGTTGACATCAATGGCTTGGTTACCCAGTGTATTTTATGGTGCCTGTGGGTTGTTCTTGTCTACCTAGGGTCTCCCAAAAATCAGAAATACTATTTCCCAACAAAACAAAATAAAACCCAAAACACCAACACCACCACAAAACCCAAACATGTTAATTGGAGATTGGAAATGTTGTGTTTTTTCATGAAAGAAGAAGAAGAAAAAAAATCTCTTCCAGAACTAGAGTTGCACATGAAAGGGGGTCAGAAGAGCTGATATTAGTCAAGTATGTTTGTGTATGGTGGGGAGAACACAGAATAAATGTGTGGAAAAAATCGGTTCTCCAGGAAGTGTAGAAAATGGTATGCTGAGGAGTTTGTCATTCATCTCAACTACATTTTTTTCATAGATCAGGTCTGCGTTGCAGCTATTGAACTAACATAGCTATGGTTGATGTCTGTCATCAAAGTGATGCTTTTGTATATCTGGAGATGGTTTAAACTGGTAGAGGAGTGGGGGTTTTTTAGGGGCATTTAATTTCTCTCCTGGTTTCTCTCTAAATGCACGTCCACAGCTTGTGAAGTGATCTACACGGGCATAAAGAGTTGGTTATAATTCTATATTACAGCCTTTCTGGGACTCAGATACCGACCTACACAGCTACTAGAGTTTGGTACGGTTCTTGGTCAAAAGAAGTCAAGAGTTCCAACCTGCTCCTCAATTCATGTTCTTGGTCCCTGAATCCCTGAGAGTTTGAGGGAAATAGGTAAAATTGTAAATGGCATATTTCCTTCCAAGGGAACACCTCACTCCTTCAGGGCTTCATCCTTAAGTCAAAGCAATCTGGTTGAAAAGAGTTAATGTTCTTATTCTTTCTATCCTTTCTAAATGTTAAAAATCACTCTTCACTGCAGTGCTAAATATGGTTTTATTGGGCTAAGCCATATAAAACTGTTCTGACAAACCTTCTTGCTCCCAGTAGAAACCCAAAATGTATGCAATGAAAAGCAGGTGTGTTTTTAAAATGTGGCTGCTAACTTCTGCCAAAATACTCCTAAAGTGAGTGAAATTTTGGGAAGGCCAGTTTTCCAGGGAGGTACAATCATCATCTGCTTGCGTAGAGGTATCAGAATGCCTTAAATCCTGTGCTGTTAGCATCCTTTGAGAGCTCTGAATGCTGTAATTTTCCAAAAAGAAAAAAAAGAAAAAAAAAAAAAAAGAATGGTAAGATAGCATGTTTAATGTCTCTGACGTTTTGGAGGGCATTACAGGAGACTGCAGAGCTTCTTCACTTTTGCTTTGTTACATGTTACAATCTAACTTTAAATGATTGTGTTTTAATGGAATTGTTCTTTCTGCAGTCTTGCTTGTATGCTATTTAAATATATTCTACCAATCAAATGGAGTCAGAAAATGTCTGGAACAATATTAGCCCAAAGTTAAAATCCGTATAAAGTTCTCTACTTCCAAGAAAGAGGTGCTTAAACTAAAAATATTCTGCAGCATTGGTAATACTACCTTTAAAGCAAACTTAGGGTGAATGGCTTACTCTGTTTGGAGTATCCACTGTGCAAAAACATTTATTCTGAAAACGTTGTTGATAGGTTGAGTAAATATTTTGAAGCATGTGTTAGGCTGTCCAGTTTAGGGTGGCATATTTTCTAAGATGAAGGGGTTTTTTGCAGCGTTTTGGGAAGATTACTTTGTTTTCTGCGGTCTTGCTAAATCTTGTAGGGCTTATTCAAATAAAAAAAAAAACCACAAGAAAAATAAAAGCAAGAAGCTCAGCTCAGCGGTGAGTGGGCTTGTCATGTATTAATTTTTCATTGCTGTGGAGAATTGTACATACATAATCACTTGATTGCAGTGGGAGTTAGTGAGCTCCTATGGTGTCATTTGCATAAATCTTGTTAAGTCAATGGCAGTTAATGAAGTACAAATGAGCCTGGAGAAGGTGACATGCAAATCGTGGGTGGCAGATGGGAGGTCTGTTTTTGGGA